AATCGTTACATATATATATATATATATATATATATATATTAAACATTTGGTTAGAATAATAATTTAAAAATTTTTTTAAGAACGTCAGTTATGACTTATGCTGTCGGTCTGTGCTGAAGAAATACAGAATTTCCTTTTTTCTCCTGCTTTATACACACTACCAGTCAAATGAAAGAAGTGTTTTTGAAAGAAGTCTCTAATGCTCATTGCTCGCAATGGCTGCATTCATTTGATGGAAAATACAGTAAAACACTAATATTTAAATAATATTTTCAATTTAAAACAATTGTTTTATTTTAATATATTTTAAAATATAATATGCTGATTTGCTGCTCAAGAAACATTTCTCATTACCATCAAATGTTGAAAATAGTTGTGCTGCTTCATATTTTTGTGGAAACTGTAATGCAATATCATTCAAAAGTTTAAGTAATATATATATATATATATATATATACGTATACAAGCTGAAGGCATTAATCTAAGGAAGAAAACAATGCAAGTACAGTGAGTGTACAAAGTTGTAAATGAAACAGAATATTGGAGTATGTTTTACAAGAAAATACAGTTTTACTTTAAAATTTCACATATTATGCTTTTTCACTTTTTTAATTTTAGTCAGTGTGTAGTGTGTATGTTTGGGCATAAAACAGATCTAGAAAGTTACACATCTCAAAGTCCACTCCAAAGGGAGATATTTCGTTTTTAAAAAATCCCTAAGGATGCATTAAACTGATCAAAACTGACAGAAAAGATATTTATACTGTTACAAAATATTTTTTTATTTCAAATAAATGCTGTTCATTTATTAAAAATCCTGAAAAAAAATGTACCATGGCTTCCACAAAAATATTAAGCAGGACAAACTGTGTTCAACATTGATAATAACAATCATAGTTAATAATTGAGCACCAATAACAAACTGATAATAACCAAACTGCCAATCATCAAATTTAGGTGATTTCTGAAGGATCATGTGACACTAAAGACTGGAGTAAAATTTAGCTTTGTCATTACAGGAATAAATTATATTTTAAAATAGATAATAATAATAGTACTTCACAATATTGCTGTTTTTCAGTTTTTCTGTATTCATCAAATTATATTTCATCAGGCCTTGGATCTGAATGGCTGCCAATGGAGAAAGATGCCCCCAGATGGTGTAGATACGACATCTACCCGCATGAGCTAACTGGGTCATGCTAACCAAACAAACCCTGACCCCTTGCCTCCATCCAAGCCGATAAAACTCAAACATATGCAGAATAGAGCAAAAAATAGTGGCTATAAAATAAATGGATTGCTCATTGAAAATGGTCATTAAGCTGCAGAATTGCGGCCCAGCAGACTCAGCACTGAGCCGTTCCTCTATCTTCTCAGCTTCACTCCTCATTAGAGAGTGTCAATACAATCGACAGGGAGGAGATGTGATATGACTTATGACTTCATCCTTGTCATCTAGCCATTCCCGCTCAAATCTTGACATTTCCAAGTGGTTATCTGCCCATTAGTCTGTGTTTGCATGATAGTAAAGGGAGCTGGCGTTTGATGGTCTGAACGCCACATATATTCTGGTGTGAGTGTCGGCCTATCTGATTTATGTGCTCTCGCTGTGCCGTGATTCAGCATATGGTATATACGGAGACAAAGAGATTAATGATCCCTGTGACCGCAGATGAGACAAAATGACTTAAAAGAGAAAAGAGGAGGAAGAGGAACTGTCAAGTGTCCTTCCCCTTGTATTTGGCAGCAGGCAGATCCTCACTATGAGCATGATGGGTAAAGTCAGTATAATTCATTAATGCTTGGAGTGCTCATTACTGTCTTTTCACACTTTGAGAGACTCATTACCTGCATAATAGAAGACTCCGTATAACACTGAGACCATTCCTCACTGAAAATTAATCATCCCATCCCAGACAAAAAAGGGAATTCTCTCGTTAAATATTAAGAAACTCCAGTACCATGAATTCTATTCTAATTTCCACCCCAGCCTACCTTAGAGATACAGAAGGAAGACTGTAATTCTGTTTCCAATTCTAGCGAGCAGCCTACGAATGCCAAATTCGAAAGCAGCACTGCATGTAGTCTTTGTGAAGACAACAATTCCATAATGTACTGCGATGAGCTGAAACTGAATACAAGATGGATGACAAATGTTTAGCTAAAAAAAGGTGCTTATTTTATTTGAAGTAACACATTTTTCATGGTTTAAGTTTCCGTTTTAGTTAACAATAATTACCTATAATTACTATAATTATATTAATATAAACATAACAATTATTTATTTTAAGGATCAATTCTCACTATTAATTATTTGCTAATTAGCTAGCATATTGGCTGTTTATTAGTACTTATAAAGCACATATTAATGCCTTATTCTGCATTACCATATTTTAGATCCCTTAATCGTACCCCATTTGCAGCAAATTAGGAGTTTATTGAAGCCAAAGTCATAATTAACAGTTAGTTAATAGTGAGAATTGGTCCCTAATCTAAAGTGTGACTATATAATAATATATAGCATTACATTATTAATTTGAATGATATTTCAAATATGAACTCTTTATATTTCAGTCAGTATCGATAAGTTTAGTGTAATTTAAAAATGATTTGAACACATTTACTGTGCCATTAGCTTAGCAACATGCTAACACCGCGCTCTCTTTAGATCACCTGCGAGTCAAGTTTTCTGTGTGCTTTCCAAGAGGACTGCTATTTATATGATGCATGGAGTTGCTGCCTATGTAGAGCTTTCCAAATCGGTCACTTACAAAGTCCCATTCCAGTTAGGATGCAGTAGACAGTTGACAGCCTCACTAGGTTATGGAACAGAGCTGGTATCTCCAGTAAGAGGGCAAAAAAAGACTCAATGTCATTGTGCATGTTAATCTACACTGTCTGACAGTAAACAAACAGAAACAAAAGAAGTAGTATATGGTACTCACAGTTGACTGTTACTCTCACGGTCTTGGTGTCGGGTGAAGCGATGTCATTTTCAGCGCCGCACTCATAGTCCCCAGCTTGATCCCGAGTGATGCCTGTGATATTTAAATACTCCCCGCTTTCATACTTCTTGGCTGTGAACGCAAGAAAATAAACAAGCACAATCCTTCAGAAACGTTCTTCTGCAGGCATGTATTAATTAATGTTTAAATGCTTAAAGGTACAAACACCATTGAGTCTCAACAGCCAGTAAAAGATGCCCAAGTGCACCCAGAAAACTGAAAAAAGCTTTATTAAGGCACATAATTGCTTTGTTGGCTAGACATCCAGTGGGAAGCATCTCCTCTGTGAGCCTGATTCACACAGTGAGGAATATTATTGGAGTCAAATACTGTGAGGAAATCAGAACTGTGCCAATATGACAAATATGACTTGAGGTCCTTGAGTAATGAGAGGCAATATAGCACAGCGTGGGGCTGCCACGCTTCTACTGGACTAAAAACCTCCCCAGGTTCCCCAGACCAGATCCAACCTTATTGTAATATTCCTCAGTGAAACCTATTTATATCCCACTTTACAGTGAGGTGAATATCTCTCATGGTACAGAGAGGTAAATCCTGCACTGGCATATGGATGAGAAGCCTCTGACTCAGCAAAACCCCCACAGAATAAAAACAGCACAGAGAGCGATGCAAAAAAAGGAGGATGGAGAGGCTTTAGGAGGGGTGTGTTTTCACCAAGTCTTTTGTAAAGCATCATAGAGCTTCAAGATCCGACATCAAAAAAGCTTTAAAGGGATAGTTGGTTCCCCTAAAAACAAAAATGGTGTCATCATTTACTCACCCTTATGCATAGCAGTTTTCCATGCAATTACAATGAATAGGGATTGTAGTGTTTTATGCACTACATTGCAACTCTTCTGAAGCCATACAGGAGCTTTGTATGACAAACAGATGGATATGGATATTTTTATTCATTGATATCGCTGCCCAGTCAGCTGTTAACAGCTGAGATCTGATTTGAGCAGTGGTGGACAGTAACGGAGTAGCTTTACTTCGTTACTGTACTTAAGTACATTTTTCAAGTATCTGTACTTTACTGGAGTCGTTTTATTTTGAGTAACTTTTACTTTTACTTCACTACATTCCAAAGCATAAGATCGTACTTTTTACTTCACTACATTTCATAAAACATATCGTTACTCCTTATAATATATCACGTGCTCCGAGACGCAGAAGCGGTGTCTGATTCAAGAACGAACACTCAAGTACTCGATTTGTGTACTTCGTCCACCACTGGATTTGAGTCAGTTGATCTTGAGAACCAGATCAATCTGAGTAAAAAAAAAAATCATTCAGATTGTTTTTGTAAACTGGATCAACTGATTCCTTCAAAGGATCTGACTTAAAAGAATGATTCTTTCACAAATCAGAAATCACTACTTCTGTCATAATCTAAAATTTTGATCTGTTCCTTGCACAAATATCATTCTGACTAGCTGCTACAACACTGATAGAAACACAAGAGCTCCAAATTATTCCATGCTTTTGTAATTTGCATGAATATTTGTGTGTTGCATGAAAACAATTACCTCTGTATAGCAGGTAACAAACTGAACAATTGAACAAAATAGTTTTCTTTGGGGTTATCAAGGAACTGACTAAGATGTGTATCTGAGCTGACAAGGTGCTATTTGGCTCCCAATGCTTTACAAATGAATAGAGGCAAAGACTGTAAAATAGGATAAATTGTATCAAACACATTCATGCAAAACAACCCATATTTGGCTATACAAAGATGAAAAGGCAGTTGGACATCAGAGCAAAAGAAGTAAACATCATAGTATGAGATTGTTCACCCATCAAGATTTAAGCTGTAAAATTTAGTTAACTAAACTGAATTGTTATTATTACCTAAAACTAGTTTCCGTTAATTTAAATAAATCTAAAAATAAATCTGAATTTCATGGTTTTTTTAAGTTAATTTTTTTTTCAAAATTTTATACTGTTTAAATGTTATACTGTTCTGATATACAGTGGCACCAAAATGTATTTGGACACTTGAGCCACTCTTTAAAAAATGTATAACACTGTAATGCAATTGCATTAGATTGCAGAATGCCAAACAAAGTGGCATTTATTTGAAATAAAAATAGCCTGTGCATACTTTAAGCAAAATATTTTCCAAAAATATATTTTTAATAATACATCATTTTAACAAGGTGCTAAAACACCTGTGAGAAAAACGACTTCAACCATCTAAATGAAAAATGACCAGTTAGTCAAATATTGCAAAAATAGCCAAGAAAAGTGTTGTTTCTGAGAAAGGCTATCTATTTACAGTTATCACTTGGTTTGATCTTTTGTGCGTAATTAAATGAAAACCACACTCACTTAATTATGTATACTTTTTCAGGGCAAACTGTTTTAAATCACAGCAATGGCAGTCGTCACATTATCAAAACAACTGTTCCAGGTAAAAGTCAAACTTACAAAATTAACAAACATCGACTACAAATTACCATATTTCTTCCTCCAGCTAAAAACCAGAGGGATCTTTATCAGTGATTAACTCACTCCATAATTCCCTTACTTCAGTGATTTATTTTCTTTTTTCTAACAGAGACTTCACAATGAGCCATCATTTATCTTACTGATTACACCAAAAGAGGAAATTACCAAGGTTTAGTGAAATCAACCTTTGTTATATAAACCAACTTGTTTGCTATAAACAAAAAAAACAGCAAACTGGAGCATCTTAAAGGCTTAATGGACACTGATTACGTGCCAGAAATATATCGACCGCCTCCCGAATTGTGCGTGTTAAGAGTTATTTGAAAGCTCAAGAGAGACTTGTCATAGCCTCTGGGAAATGTCACTCCAACCAAATTAGCCAAATCACAGCAAGGTTAATCTAGGATTCCACATTGCTCTGTGTTAAGTGCAGTCACAGTAAGCACTTTCCCCACATTGTGTAAAGAGCACAAAGTACATTTCCTTGAGGTCTGCCTGCTGCTGATATGATGAGCGCTGGTGAAGAATACATTATGGGTTAAGGTGGCAGTTCTCTGTACATCTTTTCCATTAACCCGTGAGAGAACACTGCGGCAGCCCAAATGTTGCATTATGAGAGGCTTCCCCCAGGCATTCATTGAGTTGTCAACAATGAACCATCAACCATCATTCAACCGCCACACATACTTGCTCGCTCAATCTCGCACACGCACCTGAACCGCCTCCACTTTTTCCATTTCCGGTATCTCACCTTAACCCTGATAGCCTCCTCATTGTCCCAAAGTGCCCCAAAACAATTGCTGAATATCTGTCCGAGCACTCTTTAAGAGCTGGTCATTGTATTGAAACCATTTGGTGATGTTTAGACAGACTGTCAGTGCAGAGTACGGAGCTATTGTTCAGGAAACAATAAACCAGAGTAAAGACAATTTTGGGAGGCAGAGGCACGAACAAAGGATTGACAAAGGACAATTGAACGCTTCACTGTAGCCTTATCATATGAGAAAAAAAATCAAATCTGAAGTGTTATAGTCAGCTATTTGAAAGGTCAGAGTTCCTTATATCCCGAGGCCTTAAATCACAATGGAAAAAGCTTATGAAAGCATGTTTGGGATCAAGCGTGCTGGGCCAGGCTGTACAGAGAGCGTGAGGCCGCCCTGTAGCCTCACTACGTCTCTATATAGGGCTCGCTTTAGGATCTATCTTCATCTAGTCAACAGCATTTGAAATCATGTCTGTAAAGCAATTTTAAATGCCCTGAGTACTGAAAGTATTAAAAGAGTGTGATTTAAAGCTTAGACAAGGAATTTCTCATTTAGTTCTCATTTAAAATCTACAGCGGTGAGAGTGTGCTGTATTTGCGAGTCAGTTTAACACGTTCGTACGTAATGTATGGTTCTAGCACATGTTTTAGAAACTGAAGCGCACATTATTGACAGCATCTAAAACAAGCATTTTGCTTATGATCATGCTTTAGTAACGTATCATTAATTATTGAATTCATGGAATTAATAGGCTGACATTAAATATGTTCAACAGCATCACATTTACTTAATGCATTTATGTAATCTGACATTTTATCGGTTTTATTCGGTAATGTGTATCATAGTTAAATGTGACTATACAAATATACATTTGTAACATAAAGGATTCACACTGTATTTTAGATTATGTCAGTACATCCATATTGTATGTTGTTCACTAAAATCTGTATTTAAACATTGGGATAGTTCTCACGACAATGTTTTATTCATTATTTACTCACCCTCATATCCTTCTAAACCCACAATACTTTGGTTAATCTTCCTAACACAAATTTGACTATTTTTAATGTAATCTGAGAGGTCTATGTCTATTCATTGAAAGTCCACATAATTAAATCTTAAAAGATCCAAAGAGGTTATAAAGGCATTGTAAAATGAATCCATAAGAATCGAGTGTTTAATCCAAGACTCTAAAAAATCTGCTAAAATAGGGCACAATGTAGGAATTTTCTGGGGGTTTTTTTGTTTGTTTTACCTCCATTTTGAATTTTGCACTTTATTGTACTGTGTTTTAGGGTTAACAGAAATGTCTGTAAAATGAATGCATAATGTCCCAGTAATGAGCTGCCAGTGCTTTTTCTGTTATTCTACAGATATTTTTCTTTCAGTGAAGTCTTGTGAAGAGATATGATTGCTTTATATGATGAACAGATTTAATTTTAAAATAAAAAATTAATTAAACTTTTATTCCATGTTTACCATATGTGATTACCACTCAGGTTTCATTAAAAATAAGATTAACCAAAGTCTTATGGGTTTTGAGTGACATGAGGGCAAGTAAATTATTATTATTATTACTTTTTTTTTGGGGGGGGGGGTGAACTATTCTTTGTGCATACTAATGCGATCAAGCTGTTCAGTCAACTACCATTTATAACAAATGCTTCCTGGGGACCAAACCTTTGAGTCAGATTGAAATCTGTTGATCATTACAAGTCAGAGGTCTTTGAGAAGTCTTAAATGCATAATGTCTTTAAAAGGTCTTTAAGACTAATTACCCCATTTGTATTGATGAAAAGTCTATATTCTAAGCAACAATGAGAGGCACAGAAGTCAAAGGTCTGATGACACACACACAAGAAACGTATAAGGCCAAATGCACTTAGAGTGTTTCGGCAATTAAATCTAGTGGTGCTAGGTTGCAGGTTCAGCCTCCTGCAGGGTCATTCAAGAACCACTGGAAATCTCAGTCCAGGAGCTGCTGTGATTACAGCTCTGACGATTACCACAGTGCTGCCATATGTGCACCAAATACTGTTATACGTGATGGTGCGCAATAATGTATTCAGTCTGAACATATTGGCTTGTCCAGAGAAAAAATGAATACATTTGTACATTTGTAGAAGTTTCAAACACATTTTTTGTGTCGTTTTGACTTTGCTCTCTGTCAGCATGTGAATCCTTGACAATATCACAGCGACTATTTAAATACTGTAAATGAATCTTTTCAGTACATCACAACCTTCAGTGGCAGAAGCAGCAGTATCATAAAAAATGTTCTATTGTCACTGGCTCTTACTCATTGTCATCCTCTCTGCCCACACAGAAGTTAATTAGGCTGAAGAAGAATAGTTCAGACAAATGGCTTTCAGTCACATCTGGGCCAGACTGAATCTGTTGGCCATAAGTGAAAGTTCACCATTTGCAGGACGGTTGTCTGAGGACTTTTTTTTTAAATTACTGGCACACTTATCATCTGGTTTTAAGTGTTTCTATAATTTGAAGTATCCTACCTTTGGTAAGTAGTGGTTTCATGACACTTCAAAGTCTTTAGATTAGAATCGCAAAAAGCAATTCGATCACAAAACACACTGGAGAATGAAATAAATATAGCAGTCCAAAGATAAGTGCAGCTGACTTCAATAAAAATTCACAAGCACTCAAATATACTGCTGTGCACTGAATTTTCAATTCGCTTTGAAAATATGCCAAAGTTTTTGCTTTAACAGCTGAATATAAACTATGAAAGGTAAAAATGAGGTTGATGTACCCTCACATGTTGTTTACCCTGCAGCAGAATGATAACTTAAAACTAAGAAGTCTTTCTGAGAACAACAGCAAATTGAAGCGATAATTGATTAAAAGCCTTCTCCTAAACTCAGTTCATTATAGAGGGTTTAAAAAAGAAACATCTTAGTTTCATCATAATCTTCTGAGCCTCTAAACTCCAACACACTGAACAACCTGGACAGACATTCCTGCTGTGTTTTGAAGTCAATGTCAAATTCTGTCTAACTTATTGTGACGTATTTTAACTGATTTGAACTCACCTGATGGGGAGATGTGTCTCCAAGAGATTTTGGGCTCTGGTTTCCCACTGGCTGAGCAGATGAGTGAAACATTGCTGCCTTCGTTTACCGTAATGTCTGATGAAATGTCATAGATTTTGGGAGGAACTGTGGAACAAAACAAACAGTTAGATACACAAAGCTGCAAATGAGCTCAATGCCAAAAGCCTGGATCTAGAAATTCAAGTATATGAACAACAACAAGAGACAAGCTGCAAGCAGCAGCTTTCGGGGTCCAAACACAATGCTACTTTATCCAAATAAGGTCACAGGTCTGTCATTCATATTTTGAATGAATACGTGTTTTCTTTTATTTGGCATTGTTCACATTGTCCAATGATTGCTGATTGGCTAAAAGCAGCTATATAGTTTCAGATCTGCCCAACGCAAAAGTCATTTTCGTTGTTACAGCAAGACCGAATCCCACAAAAATCAGTCATTTGTCTTTAGAATGATGTTCTAAGCATCTGTACCAAATTTCATGAAAATCTGTAATTTTATTAAGGAATTACAGCCATTTATATGAAAATCTTATTCCACTGGTTTCATTCTGACAGGATGAAAATTCCAGGATTAATTCACAAGTGTAATTATAAAGTCTAAGTGTAATATGATTTAATAAGTGATAATATGGGTATGCATAGTCCATAAGCCAAGGAGCCTAGTGATATAAAATGTTTCATGAAGCATAACCAGAAACTACCGTGATAGTTTTCTGGTAGATATATAGAGGGTAACTAGCCACTGTTGCATGATGATATCATGTGTGATGGTGCACCTCACACTCAGCTACAAACTAAAAAAAATACAAAATCTTTATCCCACCTTTCATCACACAGGGCCTCCACTCTTTCTCAAAACCACAATATCAGTTGTCAAGGGATTTATGAATAAATGTCTGACCTCCTGGTTTTGCTTTCCTACATAAAAAGGCAATAAAATGTCAGGACTCTGCAAAATCAGCTATTCCCTTTGTTCATTTTTTGAGGTCTGACTGTGATTCTGTGCCAGGTTGTTTGAAGTGGATTGCATTTAACTAAACTGGTTGTGATTATTTGACTCCCTCCTCACAATATAACATTCTAAACACCATGCATTACTGAAAATCCATGTATAATGACCAAACTTTCTCAAGAGCTATTTATATATGTTCTTCTCAAACAGTAAATGGAGTTGTAATTAACTTTTATTTTATTTAAATGTCAATTAATAGTTCTCCTGACGGGCAGACTCCCCATTGCATCCATGCATAACCAGACACAATATATATAATCATGAATGATCGCTATTAAAGAATAAGCAATACTCATCTGAGGGAAATCAATTAGAAGAAAACAAGACACTGACGGAATTAAAACAAAATCCTTTAAAGCATGCTGAAGAGGGCATAAGGACACCAAACATTCAGCCATTTGTCACCATGCAAAGAAACAGCAATGTTATTTACTCCTACACTATTTGATCTCCAGTTTAGGTCTTTCTTATCTTGGTTTTTGTAATCTGCTGGCACTAAATGGTTGAGTTGAAATTCTAATATGAACCCTTTCATTGTTTGAAAGCACTCCTCTGACTGTCATGCTCTTCACTGCAGGTTTACTTGAACTTCCTCCCACTGTTGACAAATGTCCACAATCACTGATAGCACAAATGGAAAATGTTGCATTCGTCGCCTGATCATATCTGCCTTCAACAGGATCAAGACCCTATTAGTCAATGCCTGAGGAGTCAGGTACCGGCCTTTTAAATGAGATGTGGGGCCTCTGCAGATCTTTAAACTGAACATGTTCAAAGAAACATCAGTTTCATAATCTTGCCATTTATTCTAGAACTTTCTCGGTAAATGCTCACCTTGAGATTTGAAGTATTTTATTACAGTTTTTTTTCCAGACACTTCTTTACTTCTAATGCAATAATGGCAAAATTGTGTCGAAACAATTGAGCTTTTTGAGCTTATAAATTGGCGGGAAAAAAATCCAGAGGATTTGGTGCATTGAAAAATATCTCTCATTACAGCCCAAGACAGTTTTGACTTTCATTACTGGTCTTGTGTGTACCACCTGTGAATACAGAGTATATTATCAGATGAAATGAAACCCTCTCTGTATTTTCAAGTAGCTGAAAAGCCGAAAGGACCGGTATGCCTTGACACTCCACTGAACACGGCAGCATAAACAGATGCAAAGGTCAACAACCTATCCCGGTATGCTCTTTTAACTATCACTAAGTTCATAATGAAAGCACGTGTTATTTAATCTCAAGCTCAAGGTCTGACCGCGATTTGACTTTCTATGAATCCTTTCCGAGCGTCAACCTCGACGCTTTCGGCCATAGTTATTTTTAACCTGTTTATTTCCACTCAGCCTGTTCAATTGGTAGGGTAATGATGACAAGAGAAAAACAAGACAACGTTAAGCCATACCCCAAGGCCCTATTCAAGGCAACCTGATGCTTTGTTTTCCGTTTAATTCATTAACTGCTGCACGATTGTCATGTTTGCCCATTCCACTCTAATTCTCCCTCCTCTCCTCGGCGGGAGGCACTGAGATGGAGCTGCCACAGCTGACGGGGAAGGCATTATCAGTCTCTCAGCCCCAGAGTGAATAAATAAGCCTCTAATGACGCCACCTTGAATTACTGAAATGCTTACAGCTATTAAAATGCAGAGTTTCCTCTGAATAAAGTGGAGTACATGGCTTGCCTTTCTACAAATTCTGACAGGTTCTCCAGGGCTGACTGCTGCCACACAATTCCAAGACCCTATTGCTTCACACCTACTGCCAGCCCACATTCCAATTACAGAGCTGAGGGAAAAGTGGGCTCCTGTCATAATGCAGACTAGCACAGGCAAAGAGCCGAGCAGAGACAGGCAAAGAAATCAGATGCAGTCTTATCTATTTGTTGTCTTCAGGCTGAAAAGGAATGAAAAAAAACAAAACAAAAAAGTTAAGGCTGCTGTTCAATAAATGGACTTGTAGTATCGTCTAAATATTTATAGCATAAATGAGGTGAATTTTGATTTTATATATGAGGCCTCTGCATGGTAAATTACCAGTGGAATAGGCAGTACAATAAAAGATGCACTCTATTGCAGAGCTGAGCCCTTCATTAACCTTTAATATCTGTTGCATGCCATGCCAAAAATACAGAGACCACTGTAAATTAATTTCCCCTATCCTTTCCACAAGAACTGTTGACTTATATTTAAATGACAAAGTAAAACATACTATACTACTGTTGAAATCAGAGTTTTCACACTAGAGCTTTTAGTTCGTTTGGTCTTTTTTTTGTGAACTTTGGCATGCACAAGTTTGCCTGAAGGAGGCATGGTTCATTTGGACTTCAGCACGATACGCAGTTGGTTTGAATGCAGTTGGGTTTAATTTGTGGAAGAGAACCAATGTTGATGACGTATAAATGTCTATTATACAATAATGTATTTCTAATTGCTACTATTCTCCACAGAAATTGCATTTTAGTAACTCGCATTTTTCATACAAATGTGTCTTACAAATCAGACACATAAGTGCTGTTCATGCATTTTTCTTTATGGTAGTAAAACCAAAGGGAGTAAAAAAGGTGAATGTTTCCATTTCTTTTACCTTCTCCTCTAAAGATACAGCATTATGTAACTAGTTGTAAACAGTTGCTTGTACTGTATCATATCGATGATGCGAATGAAATCTACTGCAGTTTGGAGTCAAATAATATAAATCAGTCAGAGGAATCGAAAAATGGATATGGACAAAAAAAATTAACTCATGTGTGAAAAGCCTTCAGTCTGATAACCCTGTTACGAACTACTTGTAAGACAAAACATACCAGTTAAGAAGCTGTTAGGATAGACATTACATTCATTAAATTAAGCTGAAAGAGAAACTGAGGGTAAGTAACAATTTGATCATAATAATACACTCCTGTGTGTCCTGAACAACCCTTGTGACTCACAATGCGGCTCTGTTCCAAACGCTAGCAAGCTGCCAACATATAGGCAGCACTTGAAGAAATCATAGGCACAAACCCAATGCTACGGCTGTTTGAAAAGGTAGGAAGCATGATTATTCTGCCTTCAAAGATCTTTTTCTGAACCAAAGGAAAAAGTAAAGGAAAGAAAAAAAACACATCACATGTATTCTTCAATAAAAGGTGTTGTAAGATGGTATATATAATTTAAAATATAATTTATGCAATACTGAAATCATTGATAAAAATAATTCAGTCTAATTAAAAAACATCAATTATACTAAATATTTGTGTGTGCTATTGTATATATTTTTATGCTTATTACAGTATTATTTTGTTAGCCTAGCAACATGCTAACACCAAATTAGCCTTGTGTTGCTAACTTGTTTCAAATCAGTTAAGATGCTGCCCTAAAGAAATAGTTCACTGCAAAATAAAAATGTGCTTCAAATTCACCCTCAGGCCATCCAAGATGTAGATGAGCTTGTTTTGTCATCAAAAAAGATTTGTAGAAAAATTATCATTGCATCACTTGCTCACCAGTGGATCCTCTGCAGTGATGTGAATGAGTGCCGTCAGCTGATAAAAATATCACAATATTTGTGAAAAAAGTCCATCCCATGTTGTCTTCTTACATCAAAATCCACCAACATATTTATCAACAGAGGCTGGAAGTAACAGTCTGAATTGCATTTTTGTTATGTTTTTATTAGCTCTTTGAACTCTCATTCTGACGGCACCCATTCAATGCAGAGGATCCATTGGTTAACAAGTGGTCATGTTAAATTTCTCCAAATCTGTTCCAGTGCAGAAACATATTCGTCTAGGATGGCCTGAGGGAGAGTACATTTTCCACAAATTTTCATTTTTTGGGTGAATTATTTCTTTAATACTCAGCTTAACAGGTTTTAAAACAGAGTGCATGCTGGGAATACTCCTTATGATTCATCCATGCACACCATTACAAGGGAGTACTGAATATTTTGATCCAGTGACTATACTGTGATACAAATATGCACATGCATTTTAAATATACTCATGTGGCTGGAAGTGGAAATATGCTACACTTGCAAAACTGCCAGTTTCCACATTCGTTCATAGTGGTTCCCAATTCCCCATACAACCTGAAGGCTGCTAAAACCAACCAA